TATTTGGGAGTCGGAACTCCAATATTTGGGAGTCGTTTGACTAAGACCCTATATAATAAGCCAGAGCTGATTCAACTCATGCAAAAATTCAGTGTCCATCATACGCTGAAAATGTGAAGGGGCATTTTCAATACCAAAAGGCATCCTAAGGTACTCAAAAATGCCTAAGTGACAAACAATCCTGAGGAATTGTCTACTGTCCTTGTGAATCACATTTTGATGAAAGCCCTTAAGGACATCCATGCATGTAATGTACTTAGCCTTATGTAACTTAGTCAAAGATTCCATGATTTTGGGCATAGGGTACCTATCAGGGTTGGTGTAGCTGTTAAGAGCTCTGAAGTCACCCACTAACCTAGACTTATTATTATGCCAAGCTATAATAACCGGAGTAGTGATGTCTACATTCTCATTTGCACCCACTTTTCTAATGACCTTAAGTTTTAACAAAGCTTGAATATGTTCTTCTAAGGCCTCTCTGCTTCTGGGGCTAGCAGGGTAAGGGGCGTTTCTCAGAGCCGGAGGGTAAGGTTTATCAATATTCAAAGTCAATTTGACCTTGTGTCCTTTAATGGCTCCAAATGGTTCTTCTACAGTAGCAAAGGCCTTCCTGTTAACAAAGAGCAATTGAAGAAGTTGATCTTTCTGTGTAGAGGACAAAGAAGGACTAATTTTGGAGCTTTCTTGCACTTCTTTGTCAAAACAAGCTTGTTCAGGTAGAGTGATAGCTACTGTGGGAGACTTTTCCTGATGAAAGTAGTACTTATCATTACTGTCCCCAATCTTAAAGTAACTACCTGCATCATTCATGATGGAAATTTTGAAATGACTTAAGTAATCATTGCCAATAATAAAATAATTAACAACTGCATTCTCAATAACTATAAAGTCAGTTACAAAGGAGTGGTTTTGAAACTTTAGGTTAACTCTAACAATACCCAAAGTGGACAACTTGTCTGAACAGCTATGAAATTTATCATTGGATTGACCTCTCACAAATTTCTTCCACTGTGGGAAATATTTAGACAAATATTGTTGACCTACTACTGATTTGAAGGCACCAGAATCCAAAAGTACTTTACAACTTTTCTCTGCGCAGTTCATAGTCACTACTTTTTTGCTTCCTGCAATAGAAGTAATAAAGTAATCCAATGCATTGGATTCTACACAGATAATTCCAGGTGAATCATCCTCCAATCCTAAGTCACTTTCAGAATTCATACCTAAATCCTCTTTGCAATCTTCTTCATTAATGACATTTACTTTTTTAGAATTTTTGGGGCAATTCCTGGAAGTATGACCCATCTTCTCACAAGAATAGCACTTAACATCTTGATTAGACTTAGATGGTGGAGTAGTAACTTTGTCTGTAGTATTGCTGGACGCATAACTCTTGTTACTCTGTCCGTAAGGAGTTCTCCTCTTACCTATACTAGTGTAGTCAGTAATGTCTTCCAACACATTAATCAAGGACGTTAAAGTCTGATTACCTTTCATGGCATTTTGGGCAGCAAAGCTCACCTCTCCATCCATTTGTGTTAACAACTTAAACATTAAGCTTTCATGGTTGGCTTGAGGCTCACAAGCCATGATCCTCTTGTATTGTCTGGTAACCCAATTTCCTGCTGGGGTACTACCTGGGATGAACTTATCTTTCAAGTAAATATTCAACAACTTCCTCCTCCAAGAAGAGGTACCAAACTTCTTATTAATTGCCTGCTTCCAAAAAGCCCAGGACTGATCTCCAACCATATCCCTCACCGTAGAAAACCAGGGACGGGCTGAACCTGTAAACATATATTTCAGTCTCGAGGTGATAACAATATCTTCAATCCTGGCATCTTCCTGAATTGTGTCAATAGTCTTAATAAAATCCACATGATTATACTCTCCATCTCCTGAAAATACTGGCCAGGCTTCCATTTTGGTCAGACCTTGTAAAATTACTTTACTTGATTCTGGGGAAATCTGAACTGGTGCTACAGATGTTTCTCTGGGTTGAACCTCTGGAACATCAAAAAATTCACTAAGTCTGCCTGGATCAGGATCAGTGCCCTTATTATGAATTCTGAAAAATTCCTGGTTATTATTCACAGAGATGTTCTGATGTGGTTTCACTTCTGGACAAACAGGGGGAGCTGTATTTCTATGTGTAGAGAATTTTGGTTCGTTAATAGGAGGAAGTGAAGAAGTTGACACTTCAGGGACTGACTTCAACTCACTAAACTTTTCCAAAAGAGCATTAAATCTTTTCTCATTATTACTTTCCATCACCAATAACTTGGCATTAACATCTAAGACTGGTTGATTTCCCAATTCAATAAGGTGATCTAATTTTTCATTAACTTCTCTAAGCAATTCATGCTCAAACTTCAGTTCTGAAATTTTTTCATGACAGGAACAAACATTATCACTTGGAGCTGGAGTACTGCTCTTAACAGCAGAAGAGGATTGTTCAAAATCATGACAAGTCTCTGCTTGTTTCCCTTTGTCCAGCTTATTGGTTGAGGAGGAGGTTGGAAATAAGTCCTGAGATGCATCCTTTGCCTGACTTAAGTGATGAAAATTACCAGCTTCATTGGGACTCAATTTCTGTGACAAATCGTTAAGAAATAGATCTAACTTCCTCTTATTTTCTTCCAATTTGACATACACTAAGGCAAACAAATTGTCAAAAGCTTTCTTAGATAAATCTTCTCTATTCTCAATAGAAATAATAGAATTTCTAACATGTTGCAAGTCTTTAACTAACAGAGGGGAAACGGGAAGTGAGGCAAAAGAGGAAACATTGTCTTTTACTAATGCAAGGTCTTTACAGGTTTCTTGAGAAATATTTTCTATAGGAGTAAGAGAATTTTTGATTCTAGTCAGGGAAGCAATCACATTTTCAGAGGAAAAAGTTAGAGAACAAAATTGAGGTTCTATGGCGTCAAATTTTTGACTCAAAAGATTTTTAATATCAATAGAAGATTCAGTCCTAATCTGTTTGGACAAAGTAGCAAAGTTATAATCTACTATTTTCTCGATGGAATGAAATAAATTTTGCAAAATGGGGAGTAAATCATCAGAAGTCAAGGCCTTACTGTTCCTGCCCCTGGGTGTAGACGACGACTGTCTCACCCAGCGTTCTGGTCTCGCATTGATTCCAAGGCTTGGAATTGGGCCTGGGTGGTCCTGTTGAGACGAATCATTTCTCGATGGATCGAGAGCTGATGCAATCGTCTTCTCGCTTCTCTGCTGCTTCCTGCGTTTGAGTTCTGAGGGGCTCTGCTGGGACCAGGTCTGGGAAACCAATCGGGACCCCTGTGACTCTGGTTGCGCCTGCGGTTGCAATTCCTTCTGCGGTTTCTGTTTTGATTGGACTGGAAAGTGGTCGGTCCACCTGTTGCCGACGCTGGGTGAGCTTGGCCACTCGTTGGATGTTGGTAGTTTGCCAGAGGATGGTACTGGTAACCCTGAGCTGTCACTGGATAGCTCGGTTGATTCCAGTACGGCTGTTGGGCTTGCGGATTTGTCGGGGGGTAGTAGTACCCTCCCTGAGGATGATTCATCGCGGCCGGAGGTTGATCGGACGAGTTGATCGTCGGTTGTTCTTGGTTCTCTTCCGGTGGTCTCATCAGGGCCTCTGGGGCTTGGGAGGGAGTCGTCGGGATCCCTTCTTTCTTCCATTAATCCTTGCCCAACTGTCCTGTCAGGTAGTCTTGGTACTCCGCTACCAGATTCCAGTTCTCAAATAGGGTAAGAAATTCCTCCAGGTTCATAACCCTGAGGAGGTCGGTTTGAGCCGTCGAGGCGGCTCTCAGAGCCACGATCTTCTGATCTTCGTCCTTTGTCTCCAGCGCTCTGCGGTAATATTCTTGCTGGAGTTTCACCGCTTGAAGAAGCGGATGAAATGACGGGCGATACCTTCACAGAATGTTGTCCGCGAGGGGCGCCTTTGAAGTCTTGGGCTTTGACCAGAGCTGGGCGGTGGCTCCTGGTTTTCGACATAATAAGATTAGAAAAAACAAAACTTTAAGCAAACGATTAAATATCAGACTGAAGAGACGAATGCCTAACCTGTAATGACGTCTAAGTAGCTACTGTCAGCTGGCTCGTATGGTTCAGTTGTGAATGAAGCGCTAGGAAGGATCAACGATGCCGACAAGATAGATTGAGTTGTTCTTCCTTGAGGAACAAAGTAGTTCTCAATCTTTTTCTGAATTGTAGAGTTGCTCGAAATCTTCAGAAAAGACTGAGCAAAGAAGTTCTTTTCAGGTCGAGTCGATTTCGATTTCTCGGGCTCAACGGTAGTTTTGGAAACAACCGGATCTACAGATCGGTTCTCAGTTGTATCAGCGGCTGAGTTTGCTTGATCAAGGCAGGAGCTTGTTTAGGTTCAGCGGTCGTAGAAACAGACTTATTGGAAGGAGTCGACACTTGAAAAAAAGATAATCGTGCTCGAGTAAGTTCAAGTACTGCTTGTGATATGAACAAAGCGAAGTGGAGGTACTGACTCTTAGGGTCACAATATGCTTAAAACGGTTGCCCACAAAAGTTGACTGATCCAACTAAACAAAAACTAGGATTGATAATGACAAACAGTCAATGTTACGATCTCGACTCTCAGCGAAAAAACTATAACAATTCCTTAGTATCGCTAGAACTCACAGTGCAGTATTAAGCAGACCCAACAAAAAAGGAAGATGGGATGAGACGACACCGTAACTCGTAGCGATCTTCAAATGAAATACAGACAATACTAGCAGGCTTACAGCGAGGCGTGGTGAATGATCAATCGTTCGATGATCAGATTTGATTGATGACGTAGAAAACGCGATGAGAGGGCCTAGTTAAGCAAAAACAGTATTGATCAGATTAAGAATCTGTTACTACAGGTGGTTTGGAGTGGCGGTCTCAGAAAAAAGGAGAACACGGCCAGACCCCCAATTGTCAGCTCCGGTCTCTTGTGTGACCTGTTGTTGATGGGGTTTCAGGGTCTCACTATAACTGCTAAGCAGCCAATGGAAAAGAACCACGCCTCGACGCTAGTAAGCGGAGGGGTTAGCTCCCTGGGTTAGAGGGGACACACGCGGAATGAGCTTCGCGGTGCCGAGCTCAGAGTATGTATAACTCTCTTCTAGGCTACAGTAGTGACTTTACTGTAGTCTTATAGGGATGAGTGAAGAAGGTAAGGGTGAATGGATGGTTGTAATAGTTTGTAATAGATTATAAAAAACCCCACTCACTTAATTTAAGTAAGGACAACGGGTTTGTATGGCAAATAATCTCTGGGGGGAAGAATCCTAGAGGGAAAACCCTCCCCCTTAAGTATTGCAAGGCAGGGTTCAAACTGCCTGTTGGACTGGACAGGTCCACAGATGATCATTTTATGTATTTAAATCTTAAATGATCATAATATGTATTTAAATTATGATTACATCAAAAGTGGAGGGAATGACATCATTTCTCTCTATGGGAAATCCATACAGAGAGGAATAAATTAATCAATTCCCAAAGTGTAGTAATCTCTCTAATTACAGAATATACTTAGAGAGAGAGAAAAATAAACTTTATGTACATAAGTTAGCATCTCTGTAATAAAGGAATATTAATACAGAGGAAAATACTAAGTTATTCCACGGAATTACTTAGGAGGAAAAATATAAAAAAGAATGAATAAAAATACAATAGAGTGTTAAGGGGGATTGAACACAGGGGTGTTGGTAAGAATTGTCTTAAGACAGTTCTTAACCACTACACTAGCCTGTTTGTACTTATATATTCACATTGTAGACACATGGGCTATAGCCTCAGTGTCTGACACAAACACTGAAGACAGGCCATTGCAACTGCCGAGCCAGTTTTGCCAATTCTGACAAAGGCCTCATCGATTGGCATGGAGCCCGTGAGGCAAGGTAGGATTTTTGGCAAGTGGGTGTGTGTTTCTGAAACGTTAACACCCCCGCAATGTGAGTTTGCTGTGGTCCCTTCCATAAATTCTGTTGAAACAGCTGGCAAGCAGCTTCCTCTCCTAGAACTTGTTCCAACCGCAGATGTCAGCGCCGCTGTGGTGGCGAGAGCGCGCCTTGACCAAAGCTTTGGCCGGTTTATTTGGGTGCATGCGGAATGCTTGCGGCTGACGCGGAAAGCATGCAGAGCTGACACTACACACGCAAGCTGAGGAAAGCGGCGGTGCATTAGTGGAAAGTCGAGCTTTCCGAGGCGCGGGAAAGCGGGGAAAAGTAGGCTGAATGCGCAAGGTTCCAAAAAGCTTGCTGCGGGGAATCCAGGCACTGGCGGACACTGGGGTTCACGGCCGACAGCGGAACGGGGGTTCAGCGTATACTGCGGAGGGGCTACAAGGAGCGGGGGCACTGAGGGGCGGAAGCGGGGTTTGGAGCGAACCAGAGGCAGAAGCGGCGGTGAGAGACCTGTCCATGAGCGGCCGGAGGAGTACCTGGACTGACAGGCGTTGGAGGGGTGAAGAGCGGAGTCTGAGGGAGCAACAGCGGAGGACATTGTGGGAAGTAGGAGGAAGCTTGATCAACTTGGAACACTGTCGAGAACTGGTCGCGGAATTCAACATCAAGTTTCTGGATGCGGCATCAAGACACAAGAGGACAAGGAAAATGAAATGAGAGGGCAAGCTTTTTCCCACTGGGTTTTTTAACACTGCCCGGGGAAAGAATGCAGAGCCAAAAGAGGAGGATTTTTTTTATTTTTTATCCATAGTTAATTCTTTTGAGAACAACAACAGGGGCGGCTTGGGCATTAAAGGGGGGATAGTGTTATGAGCTGTGGAGGACTGGAACTGGGGACGTTACATATGTAGAGAGCCTGTTGCGTACATGTCACAAACTTTGAACTTGGAGTTCGTTCGAGATCCAAACCTTGTACATTCCCCATCTTGCAATCTACCATCAAGATCCAGAACCCTGGAGGTCCATCACCTGCTCTCCCTAGAACACCCATAACAAATCCCAGGTGAGTCTTAGTACCCTGGATGCCTATTAATACCCTGTATTGATCTGGATGCGCTGTTGATAGCAAGCCTCTCAGTAAAGACCATACTGATAGAGTGAAACCTCCTCTTTACAGGACTGGTACTAATAACCCACTACCTAACACTCACCACGCTCAAACACTTCAGTCAACTCATAGTAACAACCTTTTACTACTAAACACTCGGAGGATTAAAATTGAGATGGGGAATGATAGATTGGTGATCAGACCCGAAATTACTGATGAAATAAAACACAAATTGACAAATTTAAGCGCAGAAAAATTGGACCAGGTGAGATCAAAAACTGTTGAGCTGGTTCTTCTATTCATGAATTTTGGGTTGCCTTTTTCCAAAATTATTTTGAAGCCATGATGACCACAATTTTTTATTAGATGTTTTCATTGTTGATGGGAATGGTGATAATTAAGAGGGGTTCCAGGATTGATGGTAAAGATCGGAATCCATGAATGTGAAGGATAGAATACAAAGATCATTAGGGCGGTTCACGTCTGGAGTTGATGGCCACTTTTAACACACTTGAAAATAAAATTTTATGAATTTTGTAAAATTTCATGAAACATCAAGTTCAGAGGAATTTGAGATTTTTGATAAATTTGTAAAGTTTTAATCATAAATTTCATTAAATTTGCCTCAAAGTTCAAATGTGAACTGTCCTATTATGTTGTTCCAGCCAATCAGAACCTTCAAACGTTATTGGAGGGTTCCCCCCAACAGTTAACCTTCTCCTGCTTCAGTCCAAGGAAACTGGTCCTGTGAATTGATCAATTGGAATCACTGTTATCAACTAAAGGAAAAACTGTATGCAGGTGCTTACAGCAACACTGAAACATAATATACCATACAATACAGTAGGGGTATCAAATATAACCAAATCCACCACTTTTTAATTGACTGGTTTTGGAAAAACCACCATTTTTTAAACATGACAGTTTTTCATTTGACCTCTTTGGGGGCCCATTGATGCAAAATTTTGTTTTTGCAGAATTGAATGGTTTCTAATGGTAAATTTCTTATATTTGATACCTCCTAGTATTGTTCAATACTTTGGTATTGGGTTGGTGTCCAGATACATAGTATCCTTATTAAATGTATTGTATCTGTTTTGAATGTATTGTATTGACCAATACAATACAAGATTGGCATGGGATCACAGTTATTAAATGTTTTGTGAGTTAAATTTACTTTGTTTTGAGTTTTGTAAGTGGGGAAGCTACATGTGAAGGTAGAAGTAAAGTCTTGAGATTTGCACAAGGGAATTTACATAGGGAGAGATGAGAGAACTTTGAGCTAGGAAAAATTCACCCCTTCATATGATCAGGGGATACTCTTTGATTCTTCATAGTCCTTATCTTCCGTTTCCTGAGTGATGATACTGGAGGACTTCCCGTTGGATCTGGGACCCTTGCAGTTTTCAATTTAGACCCAAAAAGTCTAGATTTTGGCAGGGAAATCTAGCTTTTGCGGCTCTGAATTGAAACTGGGAGACCCGCAGATGTTTACGGGAAGTCATCAACTCTGTACAGTTTCAAAAGAGCCATCTGGCTCAACCTGTTGGACCAACCATTGGTACAAGCTTACATACTGTTCTATTGTTTTTGCAGCTAGACTACC